CCAGCTCCCCCCCATAGACTGTCATTTAAAACCCAATGTGAGTCTGCTGAGCCTGGTGTAGAGACTCAGGCTTCCTCATAGCTCCTGCTTGGGCCCATGTCTCTCCATGTAAACATACAACCTCTCTGGGTTCTTTGTCCCGTTTGTGAAAGACTGTCAACTGAGGCCAAGCAAACTCCACGAAGACTTGGAATTCTCTTTGCCTTGGAGTCTTAATACAATTGGAACTTTGCACCAAGGGATCCAAAAGAAAGAATCTTGAGTGTAGGTGAGAAAACAGGTTGCATCTGCAGTCACCAGATGCCTCCATGCCTGCCCTTGCCACCGTCTTCCGGCACTTCCCTTCAAGGTTGGTCTATTTGCTAAGAGCAGAGATAGCTATGGCTCCTGGCAGATAAATGGGGCTTTGTAGATTCTGCCTGTTGTCCAGGAGATCCTCCAGCCCCACTCACCAGCCAAGGAACCTTTGCCAAAGTCCTGGTGGTTTCATGCCCCACTTTCAGCACATGTGGGTATACAACTCGAGAGAGCTGCCAGAGGTATGAATGAGTGTGGTTATTTGCTTTTCATAAAAGGGATCTACATTTTATAAAAATTAGGTTCCCCTCATGGATTCCTTTAACTGCCTTACTACCCCTGATGCATTTGAAATAATATGGGGCATTTACCAAAATATGATTATACTAAAATGTGATAATTGACATTTTCAAGGAATGTGCCAATTGTGGAATAAGTGTTTTGTAAAAATCTCGTTACCACAAATATTTCTGAGCCACAGGAATGGCTGCTGGAGAGTTCTGCCTTCACATTCCAGGAGGCTCTCTGGTCTAGGCCACACCTTCTGAAGGGTGTGCACTCAGGTGTCCCTAAGCCATCTCTTCTCTCACCCAGATTTTCCCAGCCCTAGACCTGAGATATTCCTAAGGTTTGATAGAGTTCTTGTTCTCAGCCAGGCAGGGATTGGTCCCATGACCTTGATAGTACCCTGCCCCCATAACAAAGGAAATCAGAAGTCCTACTTACTTTTCAAGGCCATTACTAATGCCACCTCCTCTGAAAGGTTTCCCTGATCACCCAGCCAGAAATTACTTTCTGCAGCATTTTGTTCTGAATGGAACTGGAACTGAACTGGCTGGTGTTCAGGTTATATCTGTCCTTAGAAGCTCTGTCTTCACATCCCAGGTGTAGGCCACACCTAAGAAAGGACCAAATTGTAGTGACCTATTGTCCCATCTTATAACTGGGAAATCTCAGGCCAAGGGGTGAAGCAGAGAGGCCCCAGTGGCAGAAGCAGCTGCTGCAGCCCTTTTCCTTTGTTCCCAATGAGGGGCTTAGGTAGTCACGGAGCTAGAGGGGTGTCAGAGATGACCCTATTCCAGAGCACAGCGGGCTGTTCCTGTGTAGCCAAAGGCAGGACAGAGAGTTTCCTGAGGAAGGACCAAGGTAGCGACATCAGAGTGGGCCAAAGAGGTATCCTTTGAATTTCTTTTGTAGTTAGGAGACTAGGGGTTGTTCAGCTTAATGTGCAGTGCTTTGTCCTGTCCCAAGGACTGAGGGGATCCAATTCTCAAGTCCTTGCTCCACGAGAAGCATATTGAGGCTCGCTCATCTTTCTTCAGCAGCCACCATTTCCTCATGGTCCTTTTGCTCTAAATACGAAGGAGTGGGAGTAGAGGCAAGGAAAGGGGTCTTTGTGGTGGCCCAGGAAGCTATTTTTGATGTAGCAGGCCCAAGCCCCCAGGGGAAGTGCAGGAAGCGTTTAGCTTGCAGGCACAGGCCTTCCAGTAAAGGTCATCCATCCAGGGATCCAGGATGTAGCTGATTCCAGGTGATCAAATCCTCTCATCTTATAACTGGGAAATCTCAGGTCTGGTGGCAAAGCAGAGAAGCCCCAGATGGCAGAAAGCAGCTTTTGGAGCCTTTCCCCTTGTTTGTGTTAAGGCCATCATGCTATCAGGGTCCTCACAGAGTAGTGTGAGGTAGGGGGAGCCTGCGAACTTCCCAGGCCTTCCTCCCGGCTGTGGGACCCTAAACTGAATTGAGAGAAGGGGTTGCACACCCCTGTAACTTGGTGGGGGAGAGGGAGGGCCTACAAAGCCTGACCAGCCCTTTTGCCCTGCCCTTAGCGACCGGGACACACAGCTAGCACGGCTGATGCGGCGGAACAACCTGAACCGTGAGGACGCAGAGGCTCGGATCAATGCTCAGCTGCCTCTGAAGGACAAAGCCCGCATGGCCCGCCACGTTCTAGACAACTCGGGCGAGTGGAGCATCACCAAACGCCAGGTCATCCTTCTGCACGCGGAGCTGGAGCGCTCCCTAGAGTACCTGCCCCTGAGGCTCGGAGTCCTCACAGGTCTGGCTGGCATTGCCAGCCTCCTCTATTTGCTCACCCGCTACCTCCTGCCTTCCCCCTAGCTGGGGACTTCAAGACAGGAAGACCCAGGCCTCGATCTCCTCGGAGGCTGAAGCTAGGTGATGAATGCATCCTGTTTTCTCAGCCCCCTCATATCCCTCCCCCTCTCTCTCCTTATCTCTCTCTCTCTGGGCTGGAACCCTGCACTGGGCTGACCCTTGTTTGGGGTACATTCTGTCTGAGGCAAAGAAACAGCCCTGTCAGTAGATATTCCTTCCTACATTCCCCAGGGCCCTTTCCTCTGAAACCACCTACAGTGTCCACAGTGGGACATGAAAGCAACTGTGGGAGACATAAATTTATTGTGGGTGGGAATGAGGAACACTGTCTGTGTGGCTGTCAGCAGTGTTTAAAGCTGGGAAGTTCCCTGGGCTTGGACCCTCTCTGAGCACATGCCCCATTGTGGCCAAAACCTCCTTCATGGACCATGGCAAATCATTTTAGACCAAGGACTACCATCTTCAAACAGGACTCTCCCTTAGGTTGATGCCCTTGGCCAGGATGCTGTGAGGATTCCCTGTGGGTAATGCAGTAGTTTGCAGAGGCCAGGCCTCTTCTGGGATGACCCACTGTCCCCCTTTGGCATTTGTCCAGCATTCCCCTTACCCTGCTCATCACCTCCCACCATTCTGTACCTTCCACTCCATGTACTCCTAGCCCTGAACCCCTGGTAGTCCAAGCACACCAGGCTGTTTCTGACCTCCGTGCCTTCACTGTGCTGTTCCCCTACCTGGAATACTCCTCCCCCTGTAACTGGCTGACTCCCAGCTCAGGCACTGTGTGAAGCCCCAGGCTGGGTTAGGTGCTCTGGGATACCACCATCATCGTGTTTTATCTGAATCCACAGTACAGCAATCAACCCAAAGCTGTTGGTCTCTCCTACTAGACTGTAAGCCCTTTGAGGGCAGGGACTGTCTTATTCATCTCTGTTCCTTGTGCAGAGCCTGCCTCGCCATTGGTGCTTAATAAAGTGTGTTGATCTGAAATGCCCTACACTGCCATTGTTCCCCTAGCACCATGGGCCAGTTAAGGTTCCCAGACTTGGCTGATACCATTTGGGTTATACTTGGCCTCCTCCTACACTGAAGCCTGGGCCCCAGAAGGTACAGTAGCCCTCTGGTTTCTCCTGGGGTGCCAGGAGGATTCCAGCTAGCTCCAGGTGTACCCTTGTGAGAGGCAGGTGGACGTACAGGGGCAGCATCGTGCCCACTCCCTCCATCTTCCTTCCCCAAGCCAATTAAACCAGTGTAGACATCACCTTTCCATTGCCAGAGCTGGCAGACCTGCTGATGTGGTGATCCTGGCCAGCAACCTATTAAGGCCAGAAATGAGTGTGACAAATGTGAATGCTCTGGTGGCCATATTTAGTGCCCATTTCCCAGAGCTGCTCAGACCTTGGAGACCAGCTTATTAACTCACTGCAAACCCCTAGGGGCAAAGGCTGGTGAGCTTCGGGTTGGGGCCTGGGCAGGATGAGAAAGGAAGAAGGCAGCTGCTTCCTGGGTTTAGTGGGACCTGGCATGAGGGGTATGGACCCCTCATTGAGGTAACAAGGTGTACTATTACTCCAGTCATTGAGAAAATGACTCTTCATGAACACCTGTGATGTGTTGGACACTTTGCTAGATGTCTAACACTCTAGTGGTGACATAACTGATTATCCTGATTCCAGGCCCAGAGAGATGGAGGAATCTGATTCGGGTCACAGCCAAGCTTCAGGATTCTGCCCACTGTACCCCTGAGCCTCCTCTAGGAGGAACAGATTTGGGATTGCGACCTGGTCCTATCTCCTTATGTGGCCTCCTGGCTCTAGTTTCTTCTATCAGGTAGGCATCGTGATGCTTAGGTCAAAGGACCTAATGAATGGAGGACAGTGAAAACCCTTTGCAGACTGTAAAGTTCCAAAGAATTACTTTCTTCCGTGACCTAGTTTGCTGAGTTTGATGCAAAAATGTCAGAGGATGGCCAACATGGAAGGTGAGAAAACGAGATGCAGTCCTCCCCAGACCTCCGGTCCCATACAACTCCCACTCCCCCTCTTTACACCTCCCTCCTCACCACCTCCTTTTCCCAGGCTGGGTGACCGAAGGCAGTCTTAAAAAAAGCCTGCTTTCCTAAGGGTCATGACGCCATGGTTAGGCCAATATGGGGCTCCCAAGGCCTCAGAGCAGCCAGAGCCAGGCCACAGGGAGTCCCAGCCCTGCACCCCAGTGGGCAGCATCCCTCCTGGCCAGCAGGTGGCAGCACCCACCCAGGTTGGGGTCCAACCTCTGTGGCAGGCTCCGGTGAAGTTACTAACTTTATCCGCAAAGGCTGTGGAGAATCAGGAGCGCAGACTGCCTGGCCCTGGGTGCTAATTATGAAGCTGTGTTGGGGCAGAGGGTTGTGTCCCCATCCTGCTCTGCCCACCCTCCCTTCGGAGGGCAGGAGACCCTGGGCTCCAGCCTCCCACCCTCCAGCCTGAAACTTGGGCACTGTACTCTATTTCAGCACGGGGCCTTCCCACCCAACAAGGAGCAATGAAGACTCCAGTGAGGGCAGCAGATGCACCAGCCTCTTGGCCAGGGATGAAGGGGACTCCCAGACCCTAGGGTACCTAATTTGCAGAGCTTTACAGTTTACAAAGTACATTCACATGGTTATCTCCTTAAAATCAAGTTCTGCGAAGGAGTCCAGGCTAGAATTTCACCGAAGCTCAGGTTGAGCCATAGGGTCTAAAAACCGAGTTTCTGGGCCCCCAATACAATGTTCCTCCCACTAACTGCACTGCCCCCATTAATTATACCTTGGTTCTTTATCTAGAAGTTACTGTCAGCTCTTCTGATGTTTAGCCTCCCTGCTTGAGGATAGGCAGGGGAAGGTTAGGGACACCATGAGGAGCCTCCATGGCTAGAAACTGGATGAGAGGGATGGCTATGCTGGGCACCCCTAGTTCTTGCTAAGATACTTTAAGTCAAGAGGAACTAGTCCTAGGAGCAGGAGGGAATAGGGTGGCAGTAATTGCCTGAGGCCATAGGGGCACATTAGAGGTAGGCAGGGGAGACCCCTGGAGATGGTGAGAGAAGGAGCAAAATGAAGGAGGTGGTGAAGTCCTAGGGGTTGGCTGCATTCCTGCTCCTTCCTATGAAGGGGAGATGTGGCTGGTGGCTCCTCTGTCCCACCCACAGAGCTGAGGCTGCATCCAGCTGGGGCCCAAAGAGCCTCCTCTCTTTGCTCCCCACCTTCCCCTCCCCTCCCTGTCGCTCAGATTCCAATACAATTTCCAGCTAACCAGCATGTCGATAGAACAAGTCGGGCAGCCAGATTGCTGGCCAATTACAGGAAATCATTCTGCTCCACAGCTCAGCACCCAGGGAGAGGGTGGGAAGGAAGGAGTGGGGGAATGTGAGGGAGTAGAAGCCCAGCTCACAGTCTGGGAAGGGGTTTGAGGCATGGAATGTGGCCGCCCCTGGGAGGAGCTGGGAGGGAGAGTAGCAGAGTATGAGGAGGCTTCTGCATTCAGGTCCCCTTCGATAGACTGGTGTCCCAAGCAACAAAGAGAATTGGGGGCTGAGGGCTGATGAGCAGGGTTGGGGAGGGGTGAGGCAACTGCTTAGAGTAGAGGTGGAGTAGTGAGATCAGCCTCCCCCAGAGCCCTGTGTTTGGGAATGGGGATGGCACCCAAGCCTCCCTGGTCCAGAGTCCTGCAGGGCCATCTGATTACCTAGAAGCTGTGGCCCACGTGGGTAGGACCTGTGCCTCCACACCCAGCCATGGACCAAGGGGATCCTGGGGCAGTGGGCAGGGGTTGAAAGGAGAAGAGGAAAGGGAAGAGGCTTCAGTATGCAGCTGATTGGGCCAGCAGCAGCCTCACTTGGTGAAGGGGTAAGTGTGGAAGCAATCTTTTCACTCCAGGAGGTGGGCACAGAAATGTGGGAGGTGATAATAGCCTCCTCACTTACCTTTCTAGTCCCTCAGCCTCATTTCCTAACTCTGGCCCTCAAGAAACTTTCACTCAGATGGAAGGATCCCAAATCCCCTCCACGTTCCATCTGTCTGCATCTACCCATACCCTGAACCTGGATGCCTCTGCCACCTCCACCCCCACCCTTCATCATAGCTTTCCCAGAACTGCCTTAACTGCCCCCCCCCCAGGCTGCCCATCCAGCAGACCCCGAGATGCCCCAGCTTCCCAGCACCAATGACTAGCTCCCCTTCCCAGTCCTGGGGTCTCTCCCAGAAAGTCCTGGAAGATCCTTGAGGGCCAGAAACTTCCCAGTGACTGTTGTTGCTGTATTTGTCTTGGACCCCCCAAAGAGGCAACTGTGACCCAATGATCCCGTCCCCTGCTCCAGGCTGTAGCCACCTCCCCAGGTCCTCTTCCCAATTCCCAGGATCTCACTGCCTCCTCCCTCAATTCCAAACCCTCTCCTCCAGACCCCTCCAGGGCTGGGGCCTGGTTGGAGTCACCCTCATTGATTCCCCCCACCCAAGTGTAGACAGATGGGCAGATAATGGAGAGGGGATGGACCTCAGCACCCAGTGCCCCAGGCACCCTGCGGCATTCAGCAAAGACTCAGTGAATGCTGGTGAGCAGCAGGCCATCATCAAAGTTCCCGTGGTGGGTGCATTGGGAGAGGAGGTTCAGTGCCCTGGGGCTTCTCCTGCCCCGGGGTTCCTGCCCATGTACACAGGCCTGGACGTCTGGATTGGGATTGTCGGCTAGCCCTATTTGTGTCCCCAGCTTGGCACATAGTGGGCACCCTCTGCTCCACCAACGGAGGTAAAATCGCTGCTTCAGGCCCCAAGCACAGCCTCTCAAGGGCCGGCGATCCGGAACAGGGCGCCCGCCCCGCAAACCCCCTCCCCACCCTGCNCCACCCTGCTCCACGGCGCGGGGAGCCTGGCTCGCTGCTGCGCCCCGCAGCCCGCAGGCTCCACCCATTGATTGGGCCGCGGGGACCCAGGCGCGCCGCCCCCACCCTGCCCCTCGCTTTTCACTTTTAATTGAAGTTTGTTTGAGCAGAGTGTGGAGCAGGCAGAGGCAGAAACCAAATATTTAGTTGCTGCAAATTGGCACCTCCAGATCAATTACCCTGCCCGCGTCAGGGCCCGCGCCGCGCCCCGCACCCCGCGGAATCTCAATGCCGAGCTGCCCCCGCCCCGCGCCGGCGTCGCCCGCGCTGCCTGCCTTCATTCCGCCGCACGTTTCTCATCAGCTTCAGCCATACATCACCCGTGGCCGTGAGGGGAACAGATTTTCAATGGGAAAAGTTATCCTGGAGGGTCCTCGTTGCTGATTCCTGCCGCGCCCTGCGCTGTCTGGACCCTCCGCCCTCACCAGCGCGGTCTCATGAGGACAGCCTGGCGGCAGGAGTGAGCTCCAAAGGCAGGACTTCGGGTCACAGGAACTTGACCCAATCCCAGTAACACCTTTTACCCTCTGGGTGACCTAGAAGTTATTTGTGCTTCCCAGCCTCGGTTTTCTCATCTGTTATGTGGGGCTCTACCTTCACCTTGCAGGGTTGTTGTGGCGTCAACCACGAGCGGGACAGGGCCCTGCACTGGGCTGCCACATAGTGGCACTCCACAGACGTTAGTTCTCAGTCCTGCCATGGGGTAGAATAAGTTTCAGAATGAAGTGAGGGGCACTGGTCGGAAGTAACTCAATCAAGCTGCTGGAAAATAC